GAAGGTGTCAAAAAAACAATTTTATTCTCTCTTATTTTATCTGTGTATCTCTTAAATGTTTCCTTTAAAAAAGTATAATACACCAGAAGGTGCAGCGTGAAAAGATCTACAGTCCGCAAAGTAAAGCATATTTTAGTTGTGTAATTTTTGTTTTCAAAAAAAGCAAAATTCCGTGAGAATAATTTCCATTGTACCTAAAAGATTATTTTTCTATTTCAATGAGGAAATCATTTTTTTCTTATTTCATCCTTTTATCACCTAATTGGTTTTATCGCATATAGCTCGAGATGCAGCGAAAAAGTTCTACAGTGTACAAAGTAAAGCTTTTTTAATTGTATACTTTGTGTTTTGAAAAGCACCAAAATTGTGCGAGATCGTTTTGCGCAGCGTCGAAAATTGATTAGGCAGAATTCCATTTTCAAAAAAATACCAAGTATACAATTAAAATAAGCTTTCCTTTGTAGATGCAGTGATCTTTACACTGCATCTAATGCTATTTTCTGTGCTTTTTTAAAATGTATTTAAAGATTAAAATAGAAAATAGAAAAATTGGCCATTTATTATGGGACACCCGATATGTATTGCGGGAAACAGATACATCAGGATAGCAATAAACAATTCCTGATACATAAAATACAGAACTACATCGAATATACGTAGGTTGAATAAAGTAGTTTTACTCTAGAATATATAGGAAGCGTGAAAAATTACAGGAAGCAATAACTTCTTATTGATTCTAATAATTTATTTTGGGGGTTGCAATTGCTAACTATTGCATTGCTGGCGCGCCGCCTATGGGTGTGGGTGGGGTATGTGGGTGTGGGTGTGGGTGCGTGTGGGATGTTAGTATGTGGGTGTAGGTGTGGGGTGTGGGTGTGAGGGTGTGTGGGTGGGTGCGGGGTGTTGGTATGTGGGTGTGGGTGTGGAGTGAGAGTGTAGGAGTGAGTGTGCATATTCCATTCTCTTACGACGGCTCATTCTCAAAAGAGATACAATTTCTTTTTGTGTATAATTAGCATCAAATGACTTCGAAGACAAACTTGTTCAATGATTTCCTAGTCTAACTACTAATCATTGTCATAGCTATTTAATACTGTCATAGTGACCTAAAAATCTTGTAGCTATTTAAACGTGCCATAGCTATTTAAAGGCTTCCATAGCTATTCAATCATTTGTATAGCTATTTAGTCTTTCACATGGCTATTTAAACTTATCATCGCTATCTAGAGATCTTCTAGCTATTTAAAGTCGCTATGGCTATTTAATCTTTCACATGGCTATTTAAGCTTATCAGAGCTATTTAAAGATCCAATAGCTATTTAAAATTGCTTTAGCTATCTAATGACTTGCACAACTATTTAACCATTTACATGGCTATTTAATGCTATCATAGCTATCTAAAGATCTTGTAGCTATTTAAAGTTGCTATAGCTATTTAATGATTTGCATAGCTATTTAATCTTTGACTTGACTATTTAATGCTATCATAGCTATCTAAAGATCTTGCAGCTATTTAAACTTGCTACAACTATTTAAAGATTTGCACAGCTATTTAATGATTTGCATAGCTATTTAATCCTATCATAGCTATCTAATGATCTTGCAGCTATTTAAACTTGCTATAGCTATTTAATGATTTGCATAGGTATTTAATGCTATCATAGCTATCTAAAGATCTTGTAGCTATTTAAACTTGCTACAACTATTTAAAGATTTGCACAGCTATTTAATGATTTGCATAGCTATTTAATCTTTGACTTGACTATTTAATGCTATCATAGCTATCTAAAGATCTTGCAGCTATTTAAACTTGCTATAGCTATTT